TCATGATAGTTTAAAATGTATATTTTTACATTTCAAATTTATTTGATCTGTATTTCCTTCCTATTCGTCGGAAATGTAAGCATAAACAAATGAGATGGAATGAGGAATGAGAGATGAGCGAGTGAGCGAGAGAATGCCAAAGAATTGATACACAAACGAATGAAATGAATGAAAAGAATGGAAAATATTTCTTGTTGTGCTCATTTTTAATTAAAGCGCTCAAGAATTAAGCATTATCTAGCTATAATCTATAAATGAGTGTCGGAATACATGACAATTCGCTGTTTCAGCGAGAATGGGTTAAAACCATTCATTCAATAGTGTCCATTTGCATGCCTTTAGTATCATTGTCTTTGTTTCTTTTTCTTGCGCGCAAAATATCACGTATGATCATCACATATAAAGGAATTATGCTGTCATTCCGTTCCGTATTTTAATTCGGTTTCATTCTCGAAAGCATTTGTTTTTTATTCTGTTGTTACTCGCTTCGTTCGATGCTCTTTTTTGCTCCGTCTTCTTTCATTTTGTTAATTTCTTTTATTGAAATCCATTATTGAATTCACTGTTTTAGCATATTTAAGAGAATATTCGAGAGGTGTTTGTGGCATTTCATTTCGCGTATATCTTTGTTTGTAATCAAAAATTCTTTTTCCATTCAGTTTTCTAATTAATAGTATACACAATACTGATGCTTTTTGCATACCGAATTAATAAATCGTAAGAATGGATGTCATGATCAAAGTTATTGTGGTGGGCACCATTAAAAAAAAGACACTGGTTGGACCTTACGGTCATAGCGCGCTTCGACGAAAAATCAAGAAATAAAGTTTGTACAAACGGAATTTTTGAATGGTCACATAAGGATCGACTTTTATTGAATGTATAGCATGCGATTAAATTACATTGGCATGACTCATTTAATATGATATTTGATGACCGTTGCCAATTTGCTCACACCTTAGAAATATCGAACACATCTAAATGTATTCTCGCATTTTAATTGATTTCGATGACATTGAACTTTTTTTAAAACAAAATCAAAGAAGTTGAAAAAAACTTCCCTCAACATTACGTCGGATGTTTTTTTTTGTATTTTCTTTGGGTGTATATGTGCTAACCATAAAGTATTTCAGTTGACTCGATTAAGGTTAAGCGGTTTCGTTTTACAGTTTACTAAGAGAGTAAAAAAAGAAAAAAAAACGAGCCTTCTACTATAGAATAATTGTGACTCTAACACTGGACCAGTCATTTTTCAACCCCTGAAAATCATAACACGGTTTGTGCTCGTGCTCATGCCTCTGTGTGTTTAATGCGTTTTTTACAATGTCAAATAAAAAAAAACTGTTTCAACCGAAAGAATAGAAACAACACAATGAACATCAACCAGAATCCAAAAAAAAAATGTACCGAATCATAACACCATCAATAAAGCATACATGAATGGAAACAGTATTCAGAAGAGAGAACGAATAAAAAAAATGTGATTTAGAGGGAAAATCCAGTACGATGGGTAATTGTTATTGTTATAATTTTAACGTTTCCTATCCCGAATCATGATGATTCTGTAGGACTCGGGATTTTTTTTCTTCGCTTTTTCCCTGTGGTTCACTTACCAACGATAGGATACACTTTTTTTGAGCGTATGTATATTACGCGTGCACATGCGACTCAAAATCACAATCTTGTGAAGCTGCCTGAAGTGTGTATGTGTTTTTTTCATATGTATTAAATGGTAATGAGCTACCCACGAGTGGAAATTTAATACTTGGTTTTATTCAATGTATCCGTTGATGTTATTGTTGAATAGCTGCGTTTTTTTTCGTCTCTACTCTCTCCCAATATGAGTGTATGTTGAATTTGTGCATTCGGTCGCCGATTTCGATCGTTATGCATATTTTGAATTCATAACAATGATTTTTTTTTTACTATATACCAAAAGTCTTACCGCTTACAGTTACTCTCATTACACAGTTCTGTGATGCCTAATCTAATACGGAAAATGTGGCATATTTCATGGTGATTTTTTTTCTCTATGTTTCTGTTTGTTTATTTGGTAAGCAATGCCATTTGAGTGTTACTGTTTTCTCCTTCACATTTTTTGTTTGCCTTCTGTGTATTCTAGAAAAGAGATGAAGAAAAAAAAAGCGTCGGACGCGCGCATATGCAACAATTATAATTTGTTTATAATTTGTATAGAGAGAGCATGACTGATTGCAAACAAATTAAATAAATATGAAATGGAATTGAAACGGTTTCTCTCTTCGATACAGTTTTATGTTTTATGATGGGTGGCGGAATATTAAATTATATTTAGCAAATATGATTTACAAAAGTAGAGCCCTGAATTAGTCGTCGTTTTTTGTTCGGTTCACCAAAGCCACTTCTAACCGGTTGAAAAAAAAAATTGTTTGTATTCCAGTTTTTTTCTTACTATTTTCGGGCTTGAAACCGTTCACGGTTCGTGTGTGTTGTTTTAGTAGGGCGATTCAATTTTTTCTGCTTTTTGATTGCGATTGATCTGGTTGTAATCAACCCTAATTTGTTTATTTGCGTAAATTTAACCATTCGTCGGTGACAAATGGAATGTAATGCCGTTTTTTTTGTTGCTTGTTTTTTTTTTTCTTCTTCATGCAATTCTTTCGAAACAGGTGTGAATTGTCTTTTTTCCCATTCACATTTATAAACACGAAAAAGAAACAAAATTCGCATGAAAACGAAACAAATAGCAACAAATAAAATTGTCCGAGCAAAAATATTTCGATGTGGCAAAAGAATGTCGAGATGTTTGTCATTGTCGAGAAAAGATGTCACATAGTTTTCCATGAATATGCATTTAATTAACTTGAAGATGTTTTGTCGTCGTTGTCGTTGTTGTTGTTGTTTGGTGCTGTTGCTGTTCATTGTTCGGTAATCACGGGGCCTGGACAAATGCGAATATAATGCATACATATAGTAAATTTAAATTGCCACCGCAAATTAAGCAGCGAAGTGCATTTTATACAAATACATTCACCCATTTTGCATTCATATTAAGCGTGCTCAAAGACACAACGATGACATTATCAATGTATTATGGTTATTGTTATATGTTATTTCATTATAAAATTATCAGATCCGCCGTTAATATGATATTATATTGGGTCAACACACCGAGGAGACGTTTATTGAGCATGACTAAATACTTAACAAGCCGTTTTGGATAGTAAATCTAAATAATGCGTTTGGAATAAATTAAGACGAATTTTTTTTTATTTTAGATAGAAAGAGAAAAGAGAGATAGAAGAGCACCACAAAACATTATATTAACAAATGCAAAAGCGCACGCGCGCACGCTCACGATTGCACATAGATACAAACGCACACACAGTAGGCACACGAAGCAAAGAAAACAGAACCAATAAAAATACATACAAACTAAAAAGTTGATCGGCGAATGCAAAGTCATACCGAGCGAATAAAATGTACAAAAGAAGAAAAATGAAACTCAAAAAAATAAAAAAAAATAACAACAGCGACAGAGAGAAATTCAATGAATTACCGAGTTACAAACAAATGAAAAACAAAACTGGTAACGAGAATGATGGTGAAAAAAAATGTAAATAATTAAATTAAATAGGTATTGAATGGCAATGTGGAGAGAGAGAAAAAAAAGTACGAATACCTAAAAAAGCGTGCGTTTATAAAATCGAAGAATGAAATAGACTAAAAAATGTAACAAAAATTGCAAATGAAAGGCTCAAAGTGCATCGAATCAAGTGAAGCACTAAAATAGGGAACGAAAATACGCGCTCGCACACACTAACTTACAACAATGTTTATAATAATCAAACATAAATGTAGAAAATTATTACGTTTTGCTGGACATAATTGCAAATGAGTGCGAGCTACGAATCGAACGACAACGACTCGAACAGAATAAAAAAAAAAACAGAGAGGAAAACTTTTACGACAATTTTCGCAAAAAAAAAACATCTATCCATAGAAAGACAACATACACATTCAAGACATTCAATTGGTTCATTGTTTTTATTTGATTTGATTTGTACGTGCTTGTTTGCCTTATTCATTATTCCACGCAAACTTGTTCACTGTGCACACAATCTAATACAATTAATTTTCTTATTATGCACAATTACACACAACATGAATAAGAGGCATATATCTATTGCTATTGCCGCTGCTGCACCACACGTATGATTATTTAATGGTGATTTTGTGTGGTTGTATGCTTTTGCAAAATGGCAACAAGTAAAGAATTGCCATAATGTATTGTGTGTTCGACAGAAGTAATGAAAGAAACAAAAAAAAAAAAAATAATAGCACCGAACGAAAAAAAGATTGAATTGAAGCCCAGTGGGGGAGAAGACAAAAAGTTTTTCATTACATGGCGAAAAATAATAGAGTAAAACAACCGTCTCACTAGTTTATTAAGCATGGATTACTCGGTACGCGATTCGAACAAGCAACAACAAAAATGTATTAGAAAAAGAAGAAAATTGTCATTTCACTCCGATTCACAGATGCACAGGCAAAACAAAACGAACAGAAGCGAAAAAAAAATAAATTGTGAAAAGACAAAATTTACGCTGATTCTTTTCCATCTCTCACTTTAATCACTTATTATTTACTGCATACTTATATAAAGCATTGAATAGAGAAGAACAAACAAAAGCATTTGATTGGCTTGACTCAATTTGAAAGAAATACGACTTAGAAACGAAGACACACACACAAGAGAGTAGCAATTTCAACTGAAGCGTTCATTTTGCATACCTAAACAATAATTTATTTTGTTGTTCTAGCGTATAACTAGACAAATTACAGAGCTCAAGCCGAAACACAAACGAAATACATACACGATATATATAAATTCAAAAAAAAAACACAACAAAATATATGCAAATCACATGATTTTTTATTTTCTTCAGTTATTCCAAACCATTTCGAAAACAGTAAATTAATTGATGATATTTTTTCGTTTCTTTTTTTTTCAATTGCAGAATGTATTATTGATCGCAACCACGGAGTCGATTAAGTTCGACAACCGAGCTGTACAGCTCGGTTCGGGATCGATCCCGATTCCATCAAGAATTGAAACATTAACAAAAACCACATCCTCGTCATCGGCCACAACGACTAAGAACGGTAAGTATTATTTCTTATGCCCACGCATAACCACGTTTTCAAAGTGTTCAACATTTGCGTATTTCAATAACAAAAAAAAAAAAAAAAATCATTCAGATGAACAGCAACAAAACAACCGACAAGCGACCGGTTCACCCGTAAACACATCAAACCCATTAAAGTCACAATTATCGCCAGGTAATTAATAAAAGTCAATTGTTTCTTGTAGTTTCTTTTCGGATATATCTAAGTATGTCGCACCTGTTTAACTAATCATTGGGTATTACGTTTGATTTCGTTTTGATAGAAACCGAAGCACAATCATTGACACAGCACGAAAACCCACAAATAGACTATCAATCAGAAGGTGAAGCATCGACGTCTCCGCCAACATTGTTTCACGCAGCATCAGCTATGCCACCACCACCACAAGACTCACCACAAACGGAATTGGCTCCGCGAAAACGGCGCAGAAAACGTGATGATCCACAAAATTGCTTAACTAACTCGGAGGTATGTGTTTTTCATTTTTAATTCCACTTTCTCAACCGTTTTCCTTTAACTTTAATCAACAATCGCCAAAAAGGCGACGACAAAAATTCATTGCGTATCATAAAGTATCTGAAAGCATTTTCATGATCATCTAAAGAAACACATCCTCATTAAATATTTAGAAATCCCCAGTGGGAAAGTAAAACATTTTTGAAGAAAAAAAATATCATTGGTGTAATAAAAAACACTCGTCGATGGTTTCATCATTAGATGAACTGTTTGGCAAGAAAAAAAAACCGTAAGCGCATCTCAAAATGTGCCATTAATTCTTTGCTCAAGCCGAATCGTACGAATAAAAAAAAAAACGCATTTGATACTTTGAGAAAGTTGTCGAGAATTTTGTTACCGTAAATTCACCATTCGCCATTGTCATCGAATTCGAAAAACTTCTTTAAAATACATCGATCGAATCACGAAAATCTCAAACTAATCCAAAATTAAGACACTTAACTGTGTGTGCGTGTGTGATTCGTTCCAACTTGAATCTCTTCTTTTTTTTGGCGAAATAGAAGCGAATGACACCCTCAATGACACGTTTTTTTATTCTCTTCAAGTTTTTTCCCTTGTCGCATTACAATCTCCAACTGGAGATTTTCTTTTTTGTTCTCTTTATTCGAACCGGGAAACAGAAGTTCATCGAAGGAGTGTGAGAAATTAATCACTTGAATTAATGGTAACATCATAAGCGCCTCTAAAACTTTTCACGTTTGCTATAATGTACAAGGGTGGTTGTGTTTGAATTGCTGTCGGTTGGCGAATAATCTTTTGGCTTAGTTTCGTAACGACTTTTAAGTCAATACCGACACCGAACAGAAATAAAGATAGAAAATAACGGTGGCCAAAGATTCAAGAATACATCAGCCGGAATTTTAGTCTTCATTACACGTCGAACAAAGAAGGAAAATCACAAGAAAATAATAATAAAAAAAACACTCTTACACACTTGCTTCGCATACTTTTTTTTCTGACCATGTTACTAGTACTCATGATGCTAGATGATGACCGACATTGCCATTAACGTGTATATATGGTTTACAAAGACGACAGAAAAAAAAACGAACTAGAAAGCATCTTCAAATGCCAAAAGTGAAGCAAACAAAAAAAAAAAAAAAATAACCGAAAGAAATGTGGGGTGTCGGAAACGAAAACGAAAAAGTTTACACGAATGAGAGGAGGGAGACACCGGTGAGCAAACAGTGTTTGAATTGTTTTAGAACATGATTCAACATCAAAGTTCAATAAATTCGTTCTTCATTTGATTCGATGTCATGACAGAAGTTCGTTTGCCCAGCTTGAATTCCCAGTTAATTCAACACACTAAACAGCATGTGTGAAAATCAATGCGGTTCTTAGATTTTTATTTGTTTTTTTCTTTTTTCAATCTACTGTATCCTGTTCGTTTATTAACGGTTCATCACTTTTAAAGTGAATCAATTTAAATTGAAATAAATTGAAATAGTGTGTGAATTTAATGCTCTTAAGAACTTAAAAAAATGGTAATATACAAAAAATGGTATTCATTAAAAAAATGTATGATATTTCGTCATGTATCGAACAAAAAAAATTGCCAGAAATAAATAAAAGAATGAAATTCAAAAAATTATAATAGTTCAAGTTGTCACCATGAAGATATGTTCTACAACATATGATATCATCAATTCGTATAAATAATATAGGCCGAAGTCAATTAATCCATGTCGATAAAAAGACCGTTATACTCCAGATACACTGTGATAGATCGGATCTCAGCGATATTGGCTGAGAGTGAGTAGCGTTTTTTTTTGTTCCTGTTTTCTTCCACACAACACCGTTTCACTTCGGTAAAAAGGTGATAGAGAGAAAAAGGAATTTCATGACACGTTACGGTTTTAGAGTGGGCAAGCAAAATGAAAGACAAAAAAACCTCTAGAATCGACCCACTCGACGTGCACTTCCTTCGCACGTGTAACGTTTGCTAAATTGAGCAAATTTCTTTTCCTCTTTTTTTTTTATTCTCCTGCTACAATGGCAAAATTCGGCACGGATAGAGAGAATGCCGAATAGTCATATGTGGCTGCGGTCAGTGGTAGTTATTTGCCCAAATGTTTGCGTTTTATTTATCCAGACACATTACCTTCCTCCTTGTATTTACTGGCCCGATGAAAGCCAAACGATACACATATGATAAATACAAGATTGCATCGCGCCCATACACACATATTCACCGTGATGAATGTTTGGTGTATGCGACCGGTGAATAGCACAGCACACACAGTGTACAACCAAACAATAAACGCTATAATGTGTCTCTGTCTCTCTGTCTATGGTCATCTAAACGACGGTGAAACAAAAAAAAATTGCATACCGCAACTTGTAGTAAAGTAACACACAGTTCGAAGAACTATTTTATCATCAATAAAATGAAAATTTTCAGTATGTATTGAGTTGTTTTATGTCTTTTGGAATGTATACAAAACACTCAGACATTCGCATCTCGCTTGTTCGAACTTCGAAGTCTAGAGATCCTTTTGAATGCACGTATTTTCATTATCTCGCATAAAATACGCTCACATTTAATAATAACGTGTAATAATATAATTAAAAATACACCAAAACGGAATATATTCCACGGCATATGTGCTGGGTGTCCACACATCGCTTGCTAGCGTGTGTGCGCGCGCGCTCCTTCACAACAACACAACGTGTTATTTCATCCCAAACGATTTACTGATTAGATCACAGCAACTGCACGTCTTTCTCTTACTCTCTGTGCATTTGTGTTGCCAGCTCGGCGTTGTAATTTTTTTTTCTTCGTTGCTGTTCATATCTTTAGCATCAATATTTGTTTACTTTTTGCATTTTACCAACACTTCGGATGCCTTCGAAATTTTTATGAATTTTGCCTGATCAAATCGATTGTTTTCAGTTTGAGTTCTTTTTTTGGTTGTTGTTTTTTTCTCGATTTATCACACACGCAAAAAAAACAACGTTCTTTTTTTTCGTTCATTTGTTCGTGTTTTTTCGGACATATGCAATTTTTTGTGGATTAAAGTTGAGGGTATTTTAACATCACATCGTAAAAAAAATACACACCACATGGTATTTAGAAGCAACTGTTTATATGTAAAAAAAAGAAGAAAAACCAAAATTTGTCGGATTCTAATTAATCATTCGGAGCCACAAAACAAAAAGTGAAAAAGAAACTGACTAATATAATAAGATATGATTATTTTGTAATTTTATTTTTCAACGTCATTCCTTTTCGTGCAAGAGTTCGGACGCTTGGCCGCCAATCAATATATTTAAATACTCACGACTGTCGGTCATGCCCTCTCATTGTGATTCAGAGTGATGATGATTGTGTTGATGTTGTTGTTGTTACAAAAATAAAAGTAAAAGCACGCGCATATCACATAAATGTAACACTCTTATTCACAATTTGCCCAATGTACAAAAGAATAGAGTATACAAACACATAAGTACAACTTTGATGGATCAATATGTGCATTGAATGTGTACCATTCGTACATCACACCAATCAAAAGCCACTTGTTGAATTGCGATGTCGAGTTGTGTGAGTTATTCTCTTTTTTTTGTGTCGAAATGAATTCTTTGCATGCTTTTGTGGGATTTTGTATTTACTACTCATCTCTCCTGGTGCAATCCAGCTAGATTTCATGTTTATGCTTATCGTCCTTCATCGTAACGATAAAAACCTGATATTGAACACATTCCGACACATTACAGCAAGAATTTATGATCAAAATAAACATTTCTATCGATAAAATACGAAACGGATACATTTTTTTGTGTGTGTATGTGTTAATTCAGTTGCTACTGCTGCCACAGCCACCACAATCACCGTTGCAGTTCGGTTGTCTATAGACCACATCATCGTTCAATTTCGTTTATTGACTTTGCGATTCACAATCAATGCTCAACGGTTTTTCAGCGTTTTATTCACACATCGGCGTCGAATCGTGGTCCGAGGCAGAGAGCGTTGTCATGTTTCAATATATCTTCCATTTTTTTTCTGTTCACCTTTGCATTTATCGCTTCTGGTTTCCATTTGTTTGTTGCCTAGTCTTGATTGCAATTAAACAAAACACAAAGAAAAGCGAAGATGAAACAGCAAAAAAATGGAGAATGAACAGAACTGAATCTGTCATCTGCTCGATGCTGTTTTGTGTCGTTGTTTTATTTCCATTGGCACAAAGTTATTGCTGTCATTTGTGTGTCCATTGGCATTTTGTACTTGCGACAATTCATTGCGTGTTGCTAACCTATGGAATCTCTTAGGTAATAATTATATTTATATATGTGTATGTGTGTGTGTGTGAGTCACATTGTCAACTGTGACATTTTGCACAATTTAATGAAACGAAAATTTATGCGTTGCATAGATTTCACAGACAAAACGACGGACGGTTGGGTTGCGTCGTCTTGTAAAAGAAAAGAGAAAAAACAATACAAACGCAAAACAATAAGCTTGTATAGACAGAACAGGGCATACACATATGAGTAAAAATTCTCGCGGCACAGCAATATCATTTTCACATTCTACTAGACCACATACATATACCATATGAACATATGCTGCAATTATTATGCTGTTATGTTCGGCTGTGATTCATTTGTGCGTGCATGTGCGTACATGTGCTGGCTTTTGCGATACAATTTTTAATTATGATCCATTTCAACCGTTGAGTATGTTTTAATGTATTTAACATACCCTTATTTAAACCAATGTCACTGGTCTCTCTTTTTTTTCTCTCTATTATTGTGCACCAACAAAATCTCGTTTTGTGCGCTCATTCTTTGCGCCCGGGTCTTTGTTTAATTTCTTTTCATTTTGATTTAATTTTTCGTTATATGTTCGTTTCATTTGTCAACTCCTGCTGCCTATGGCCTGTGGAAACACATCGGACGCCTTAATAAATGGTTACATATTATACACACGGTCCTTTATTCTTCGGACTATA